GGTATCTTTTGTGTATCCATATATCTCTTATCTTTTCCTCTGTTTTTTTTTTCTCTCTTCACTCTAATATTTTTTAGTTGTAGATCCATCACCATACGAAAAAATGTATATATAGAGACAATATATACAGAGTAAGGTATTTTTTTTTTAATACTTTTAAACATGTGATGTAACTGATACGACGTGGCATCTTATCCCAAAAGTGACGGAATAATCCGAAGCTGATTGGCTTTGAGAGTCCCGCTTGGAATTTAGTCATGGGACCTCTCTTACTGCTCTCCTTTGGAGCTCACTAGAGACCATTTCATTTCATCCCTTTTTTCCTCTTTATACTCGGAGCCGAGTCCTTACAACGAACATAATTTAAATACGCGTATTTGAATAATATGTAAAGTATTCAAAATATCTACGGAAACACTTGCACAGTTGCATGACATGAAAATATCTCAATGTTACTAAGAAAAAAATGAAATTGTATGACAATAACTAATGGAATATTAATTAGATCTTGAATGGATTTATAGTTTTCTTTTACTTTTGCAAAAAGTTTGTGAGTTTTTAGTTTTTAAAATCAAAATGGAATGATTGTTTCCTATTTTAGTTAAATATGCAAACAACAGAAACTGATTTTCTTACTTTTTAAAGAAATAAAAAGAAAAAAATATTAAACCAGTGATGTGGTAATCCAAAAAAAACTATCTTAAAATTGGTTGAAAGAAAAGAACAAAAAAATTGGTTGTAAGTTGGAACTAGAGACTGAAAAAAGAACTAGCCTGGTTTTATTTCGATTTGTTCTTAAACAACATGGATGATGAACCTGTCCATGAAAGAAACATCATGTTAGATTCAAAATGGTACAGAGAGTGAAGCGCATCCATGCTTAGTAACATCTAAGCTTTCCTCTGCTCTACGTGATATTCAGTAACATCTAAGTGGTAATGTTTAATCGAAAGCTGACTTTTATTTTTAATGGTCATGAAGCAGTAAAAGGGCACTGAAGTTTCTAGCATCAATTGCATCAAAGACAATGCGAATCTGATTCTAGTTCTTGGATCATCTGAATGCTACGGATATCTTGGAACATTCGTTCATTACGCTTCTTGATTCCTTCTCTGAACAAATTGCTACCTGTGCAGTGTAGATTTTTAGTAGGTGGAGCCTGTCTACTTAGTATCCTGAGCTCCTTGCTCCTCAAGTATTCTGCACCTTGTGCCTGAACTGTTTGTGAATACAGAATTACTCACAACAATCAGCAATTTCTAACAAATATTCTTTTAAAGTCTCTATCCATTCAGATGGATCCACACAATAGTTGGTAATCAGTTTATAGATCATCAATCTTTCCAACAAGAAGATGTCCGAGATCATAATGTACAACTCAATGAATCCTCCATTTCATAACAATTACATCTACAATGAAGGCAAAGGAGTACAGATTTTCATAACTACATTCTATGCCTGAATTCAGACCAATACCAGTATATTGAAGGAAATGGAAGATGGGAATCAAACTCATTTTGAGAGAGTTTATGACCAATATCTCATATAAAAAAAAAACACGCTGTATAAATGAAAACACCTGAATGTGAAGATGTTAAAGAGGCAGCTGAATCCCTTAGTCTCCTTACTTTCTCTGCAGCATCCAAATTTTCAGAATACTCTTCTGAGTTTGTTTCAATAAGAAAATCCCTCTTAAGGCTCAATAGCGCATTTTCAGACGCCTACATAATCATCAGCACAAGATTAAGTCAAGAGCAAATGAAGCAGATATATTCCACAAAGGAAAGAGCACAAGCAATGAAAAAGAATCAAACTGATCATTCAAGCATCCAAGTTTATAAACTAGCCATAACTTGATACCAATCGCATAGTAAGATGATTTTCCATTGAGCATACTAAGAACCTCCAAACCTTTATCTATTGTTAATTACTCACACCATTACTAAAAGCATCAAGCTCATGTATTTACAGAAGGAGGAGTAATTTACCTTTCCTGCAATAGAAGGGAATCCATTTTCCATAGATTGGACTGCAAATTGGGTCCATTCTGAATGTGAAACCCTTAACCACAAACAGCTAGTGGACTTGATCTCCCTCAAATTTAATGCCTCATACCTCATAGCCAAACAACTCTACTCAATATATAACAACAAAACATACATCAGAAATTCGATAAAAGAGCGCAAATCCATCGACAAATCTACACTTACAATCATGAGCTTCTTAAAATGGTAAAGAGAAAATCAAAGATAGACATGAACAGTACACGAACCTCCATATCACCGATAAGAGCAAAAGCACGAGCGAAGAATTCAAGTACGGAGAGTTTTGCAACGATGTGTTCTCCAGTAAGCTCACCGAAAATGGAAGCCGATTCAGATCTCATGAAATCTCTCAAACGAGATCTAACCTCGGAAAACGATTTCACATTCATTGCAACCAGAGATAAATCGAGAATCCGAAGCGATTCTTCATCGAACCTGCAAAAATTTAATGAGAAAACATAATCGGTTTCAAGCCAACAACAAAAGAGAAATTGAGATTTTCAGATGATTCGGAGGAGAACGAGGAGGACCTTCTCTCTTGTATCCGATTGAGAAAGAGATAACTCTGATCGCCGATCATCGAGCCCGACATCTTCTCCAGAGAGGAATTGGCGGGTCAAAATCTTTTTCGGTGTTTTCGAATTCTCAATGTGGCCTTTGATTCGATTTCGAATTTTTTTGCGCATTTTAATTTTGACGGTGCATTTTAAGAACTAATTTTGTTTTACGTTCGACCCAGTACATAAATAAAGGCCCATTAAGGAGGAAACGGTGTCGTTTTCGCTTTGATAATTACCTCCGTCAGTGATAGAAGGTTTCACTTATTAGGGTTTTGTCCATTTTCGTCTCCGTTTTCTGAAGGCAAAGGGCCACCGGACAATTCGACAAAAATGGTGAAAGGACGACAAGGAGAACGTGTCAGGTTATTCATCGATGCTTCTTAGTTCTTCACTATTCTCTGATTCAGTCTCTGTTCAAACTTCGGATTGCTAATGGAAAAATCGTTGCATCATTTGC